GCCCGCCACAATGCCCGGCTATTTTTTGGTTGCAGCCGTCGTCATTGTTTGGCGAGTCCGGGCTGGGGATTCGAACCCGCCACCTTAGGTAAAGTACGTGGCTGGCGCCTTAGCGGGTTGAGCTATAGGCGCCGAGCCAGTACTACCAATGTTTTAATGAAGCCACAGTGTTGCTTCCACAGGCTTCGTGAACTGGTAGTGGCCAGTCACATCACCCTTTGTTGGTGCATTCTCAAAATTGTGGCAGAAATTAACTACTTTATTGTTGGATATGGTAGCTTATACAGTATTGGTATTTCAAAATAAAAACATGCCAAAGGGAAATATTACTGTTAAAGAATAACATTTTAATGACATAGATTAATGTTTGAAGTGAAGATATTTTAAACATCACTTTCTTTGTTTTTATTTTGAAGAATTCAGAAGGAACTCGCAGAAATTACATTGGATCCTCCTCCCAACTGTAGGTAAGTATGGATTTTTATATACTTGTATCTTTTGTGGAAGGTACATTTGAACTGTTGGTCTGATGTGCAAATGTGGTTGTCTGATTAATCAGTGTAACTATCACTGTGGTTTGGACTTAAATGACCATGGAAGACAGTGGTGGTGGTTGTCTCTGTGCAACAGTGGAATTTTTAGCAAGTTTGTAGTGATAGAGTCGAGTTGCTAAAAGTAGTGCAGTGCAATAAAAATGAGATAATTGTGTTTGTTACTCTATAATTTTATTATCTTCTAGTAGAAGAGGTGTTAGGGTCTTAAATGATTTCTTTAATGAAAGAGTAAGATATTTACTATTTGATAATTATTTAGTTGTCCTGCTGGAAATTGATTTTTTAAAAATGCAGGAAGAGTAAACAGTGTTTCTTCACGGTTTGCATTATTTCTGAAGGCCATTGATTGTGACTAAGAATGGGTGATTTGAGGCAGTGATGTTAATTTAAATATAGAACACTTTCTTTTATGACTATTACTTAATTTTCTGGTCAGTGTTTACTTATAGGAAATAAGAGTGCTTGCTTGGAAATGAATGTTACACAGATAGAGAAAAAGGAGAAAAATACCCTCCTATTTTGTGCTGTTCTTTTAGGTCTGGTGTAATAGCTGGAAGGTAGCGGGGTGTCTATTTTAAGACTTTTTTGTTTTGTTTTGATGTGAGGTCAGTGTTGGAGCTGTGCCAACCTGGAATTTTTTTTTTTTCCGACACATTGAATGTAAGTGGGAAGATTGAATCCAGGTACAATTTATTGTTTGCTATAACACCTGATTTTACTGACACTGGTTTTATGTGAAAACAAAGATACCAACTGTAAGAATTAATGAAAATGAAAATTTGCCGATGGCTAAATTGATAGTTGGGTAATTGACAACTATTTTGTGTAGGAAAAATTCTAGTAAGGCTTACTATTTTTGTGGTGAATCCAATATAGTTGTTTACAAGAGAGTCATGTATAGCATATAAACTTGCAATAATAATGTTCAAAGAGTGTATAACTCATAGTACAAATATTTCTTTGTTAGGTAAAATCGTTTAACATACCATTTTTTTTACTCTTAAGATCTGTTGCATCAAAGCTATTTCAGTGGCAGATCATTGTTTAGTTTTCAGTGGCCAATTCATATAAGTGGATTGATTTGTGGAAAAACTCCAGGTGGAATTTAACCTAAAATCCCTGGTTTCTTAGTGTTTGTTTTAATGATCCAAATTTGTTTTTTTAAATAAGCCATTATATGTATTATTATTATTATTATTTTCTTTTTGGCTGGGGCTGGGTTTGAACTTTCCATCTCCAGCATATGGGGCCAGTGCCCTACCCTTTTGAACCACAGGCACCACCCTATGGGTATTATTTTTGTTAACTTTCTTATGAACAACTGAATTAAGTTATGTGGCCTTAATTTATATATTTGTTTGCTTAAATTTGGATGACAGATTATTGGAAAAATAATTTACTTTGTTTTAGTGAGTTTAAGGCTCTTTTTTTTCTTTTTGAGAGATAGTCTCACTTTGTCACTCTCAGTAGAGAGAGTACCATGGTGTCACAGCTCATAGCAACCTCAAACTCTTGTGCTTAAGCTATACTCTTGCCTCAGCCTCCTGAATAGCTAAAAAAATGCCAGCTATTTTTTTTTTTTTTTTTAAGAGACAGGGTCTCGTTCTTGCCCAGGTTGCTCTTTAACTTCTGAGATCAGGCAATCCATCTGCCTTGGCTTTCCAGAGTGCTAAGATTACAAGCATGAGCCACCACACCTGGACTTGTTTAAGGGTCATTTTGATAAATGGAATCTACATATAACAGCATGCCATATAGACTATTTGCAACCTTGCTATTAAATGTTTTGACTTGTTATGGATAATTTAACTTAGATTAAACCAATATTGTAAGCATGCACAAAAGCTTAAGAGGCTGAGGAAAGGAATTATGTAATGGTTATTATTAAATAAACCAAAATAATTGAACCATAGTTCTGTTTAAGAGAAAAATTTAACTATAATGTCATCTGAAATTTGGAAGCTTACTTTGTCATTGAGCCTTAGTTAATTATACCATTACTGGCTCATATGTAAGCGCTTCATAAATAAAGCAGAATATATTTAATAGTTTTTCATTTTTAAATGTAGAAGTCACACACAATAAAGCCTTCAGATAATTTTGGGAAAGATACCTACTTGAGTTACTTTTCTGGCCTATGGGAATTTGCAAGGAAATCCACTTGTGGTCTGAGCATTGGATAACCGGTAAGTTTGGGTCTCTAGTGCAGTGGCTTTGACTCCTTTTTTTTTTTTCATTCCTAAATAGTTGTTTGTACCGGGTCAGGCAGAAAGATCCTCAACCCTTACGTGGTGCTTTCTTTGGGAAGCAGAGGATCCTCTGTGCAGTGGCTGTGGTAATCACAACTAAGTGGTGATGAGTTGTATGTTCCCTGTGTGCTTATGCTACTTTATATGGATGTTTGGTGTGCTTGTTAAAGTGGATTACTGTGGGCTTTGGATTGTTTGGTGTCAAATATTTGATTGTGGTTTGTAGTAAATCTGCCTGTCTTTATTTCAATGAAAATGTGGTTACTCTCTTCAGAAAGAGAAGTCAGTTTTACTTTGACTTATTTTTGGTCAAAGTTAACAGTTATTTTGTGGTTGATTTTTAAACGTTCTGTGCTGCCTGCATGTGTGGCCTTAAGACAATAATGAATTAATTTGTAAAAATATAGCAAAACTATCTGTCTAATAGAAGGACTTAGAGTCCCTTACTTAATCATAAGTTACATCTTATTTCAGAAGGAATCATTCTCTTAGTGCTCACTTTGGGTATTCTCTCTCTCAGCACATGTGCCTCTCAAAATCCGACTTTTTGGTTCCCTGAATAGTGTTAGTCTATCACAGAAAAAAATTATGTGTGGGGGAACATGTGTGGGTTTATCTGTAAAGAAGGATTTTGTATCTTGGTTGTGTGGGAAGGAGTGTGTGTGTGTGTTGCATTCCACTTAGAGTGTGGTTTATGCTATTTTCTGAAATCTTAATAGTAGGATGACCCAATACTGTGTGTATGCCAGGTCAGATAAGAGATTTCTGAATTTTGGTACATCTTTTATGTGATGTCAAGTTAAACTTCTCTTCAGATCATATTCAAGGAACTAGTATGTATTTTTTAAAATTGTTGTACAAATCTGTTATTTGAGCATGTTGGGAATATAAAGTCTCCCTGAATCATAGTATTCGGTGTAGATAGATATGTTTATGTAAGGGATTTTTATAGGAAATTACTTGTTACTCTATTATATTATTGGTTAAATTTTTTTTTTCAAATTTTTTGAATAACTTAAATGTTTTTAGAAAACATCTACAAATGATTTAATAGATGGAATTAGTTCTTCTAATAGGAAATACATGCCTTATATATTTTAATTTGTTCTCACTTTATTGTTCTAAAACGAGGTAAAAATGTAAATATGGCTTTATTTTTTAAGTTGGGTTAAATTTGTCTTTATCTTTTTTTTCTTATATTGCTCACAATTTAAAGACTAAATGTTTAGAAATAATTGAAGGGCTCAGTGCCTGTGGCTCAAGTGTCTAAGGTGCCAGCCACATACACCAGAGCTGTGGGGTTCGAATCCAGCCCACCAGACAACAACGACAATGACAACTACAACCAAAAAATAGCCGGGCATTGTGGCGGGCACTTGTAGTCCCAGCTACTTGGGAGGCTGAGGCAAGAGAATCACTTAAGCCCAGGAGTTGGAGGTTGCTGTGAGCTGTGATGCCATGGCACTTTACCCAGGGCGACAGCTTGAGGCTCTCTCTCAAAATAAAATAAAATAAAATAAAATAAAAATAATTAAAGGTTTATGATGCATCTAAAAGTTTTTGCTTATAAATTTATAGAATCCATAGGAACACAAACATAGAAAATTATATATGTATTGAGTGAAATTTGGTATATCCTTAGATTATTTCCCATAAATAATAGAATATATTTTGCTTGGCTTCAACTCTTATGTTGATTAACATAACTGACCTGTGACCCTTGCAAGTCTGTTCTGAGGCCTCTGCAGATCCACAAATGTTTTCATACCATTAGCTGAGTTAGCAGTACTGGGTTGTTGGCTAGAATTGCTCACTGCATTAGGACCTTGCATATCACGTTAGCTGGATGGAGTAGGTTAGAGTCATTTTATATCTTTAGGTCCTCTAACAGGCAGAATTGCTGCCCTTTATAAGTAGCTGCATATTATGACTTTCACAGTTCTTCACAGATTCTCAGAAGCTGATTTTCTTTCTTTCTTCCTTCCTTCCATTTCTTTCTTTCTTTCTTTTCTTTTGAGATGAGGTCTCTTTTTGTCACCCAGGCTGGAGTGTAGGGGTGCCATCATAGTTCACTGCAGCCTTGAGCTCCTGGGCTCAAGTGATCCTCCCACTTCAGCCTTGTGAGCACCAGGGACTAGGTACATGCCACCACACCAGTTAAAAGCACAGATCTTAAATCTGAGCATGCCAGTGTTTTCATTTATATTTCCTCAGTGCTAGGGGAGAACTGGTGGTTAGTGGGCTGGAAAATCTCTAAATTAAAATAAAAAATTTGGGGCAGTGCCCATAGCTTAGTGGGTAGGGCGCCAGCCACATACACAGAGGCTGGTAGGTTTGAACCTGGCCCAGGCCAATTAAACAACAGTGACAGCTGCAACAACAAAAAAAATAGCCAGGCATTGTGGCTTGTGCCTGTAGTCCCACCTACCTGGGAGGCTGAGGCAAGAGAATTGCTTAAGCCCAAGAGTTTGAGGTTGCCGTGAGCTGCAGCGCCATGACACTCTACCCAGGGTAATAGCTTGAGATTCTGTCTCAAAATAAATAAATAAATAGAATTAAAATTTTTGTTATCCAAACCATAACTTGTTCATCTGTTCGCAGAGAAGCTAAGTTCAGCTTCTATTATAATCTGATACTGCTACAGTTTGAATTAGGTTATGAGCA